CCTATAGTAACTGATCATCATAAAAACTGGGCTGACTAATGGTATATTTAAGTTGAATTATGTCAATCTTCCGACAGACTTAAAATTTTTATGAACATGGTCTAAATTTAAGAAATGAGTATTTAACACATTTGAAATCTTAAATTAATTTTAAGAGATCTAATGAATGCTCAAGTAACAATTCTATGCATCTAGTCACCAACAGGTAAAATACACATATCAAAATCATTTGTAGGGAAAAAAAAACACTCCAAAGATTTCAGTTACAATGCTTGTAAAAGGGAAAGATAAGTATGCAGAATCATGAAAACCTGACTTTCTTCACTAAAAAATCTGAAACTGCATAGTTACACAGTGACCAAATGCTATTTCCTAGCCCCGGCACTCTGTGTTAAAAGTACAGAGGGAAATGAAATAATATAATACACATAACATATACAAACATTTGTTCATGGGAAGGGAGAAAAATTAAAATACTCCAGTTCAATTTCCTCACTTTCTTTAATGCTTTCCTTTTTCTAAGTCAAACACACAAAACATGATTACTGAGGTCAAGTTACAACACGCAAATCAGCAGGGGTTTGGAAGGAATACGTTAAACCTAAAGATACTCAAACCAGTTTGGAAAAGTAAATCATAAAAGTTATTTTAATGATTTAATATGATTATTCATTAAAAGCTCACTGACATTCGCTGATCCCTTACCAAATGTTAGGAACGATGCTAAACCCACTCAGCATCTCATTTAGCCCTCAAAACAAACAAAATATAAGATTCTACTGAAAGTATATTCTCATTCTCACTCAGCAGATAAAGAAAAGGAGGCCTGAGAGTTAAATAACTTGCCCAGGTTCACACAGCTAGCTCTCCAAATAAATGTGTACCTGCAATACAAAACTATACTGAAGATTCTATGGATATGCTGACTTGTGGTAGCAGGAGGCAGAAGACACACGAAAATCTCAGGTGACCTAACATAAGAGATAAGCCTACAGCATTACCGTTTTCCTCAACTAGAAGATAATGTAAATTCAGTTTTGCTATGCAAATAATCAATGAAAATCCTTTGAAAATCAACAATACAGTGACCTATCGATCACCTAGAATTTTAAAATATCTTTAAAGTGACAAGAGAATGCTGCAAAGTTTCCAGAAGCTTGGGATTCTCAAATCTTTATACATTCAGCTGCTTCTGAGCTAGAAAGAGATCCCAAAGAAAACAGAGCTACCACTCTTAAAGAACAGATCTTCAAAACAGTCAGTTAGAAGTCCTGCAATCTAAAAGTCCTTACTTGTAAAACGAAAAATGAGAAAATGAAAAATGAAAAAAAGTTTGTAACATACATTTCACAAGTGAGTAGCAAAGATTAAACGAGAAAATGTAATATAAAGCAGTAATCACAGTGCCTGAAACACAGGAAATGGTAGTAAGGATTCTACAAAGGTGATAATCTCTGCCCAGAATGCTCTCCAAACCCTCTCACCACCTACAGTCACCCCAGTGGCAACAGGATGCTCTTTGCAATGAATAATGCTGACGTTTAAATATACACCTGTATGGAAAGGTGAATCCTACATCTCCCACCATACAGAAAAATTATTTTAAATGGATGATAATACACATAAATGGGAAAGGTAAAACAATAAAGCTTCATCTAAAGGTAAAACAAAAAAAGGAAAACAATAAAACTTTATCTAAAAGAAAACAAAGGACACTATTTTTAAGACCTTGGGGCGAGCAACATTCTTTCAAGAGAACACAAAAAGCAGCATCTGTAAGTGAAAGTGATATACTGGACTAGATTTCATTAAATTTAAGAACTTCTGTTCATTTTTTAAAGAGGCATTAGAGTTAAAAGGCCAGCTCTAGATTAAAAGAAGATATATGCAGCATGTATATCCAAAAGATTACTCCATCTGGAATATAAAACTATAAATCTATCAGAAAAAAACACATGTAACAAAACACAAGGAAGAACAGACTTGAACAGTCACTTCACAAAAGAAGGCAAATGAAAATACATCCAACACGCAGAAATGCGAATTAAAACCACAATGAGATATCAACACAATCATCAAAATTGTTATAACTAATAAGATAAACAATAGTTGGTGTTAGAAAAAATGTGGAGGGGTGCCTGGGTGGCTCAGTGGGTTAAAACCTCTGCCTTCAGCTCAGGTCATGATCCCAGGGTCCTGGGATAGAGGCCCGCATCGGGCTCCCTGCTCGGCAGGGAGCCTGCTTCCTCCTCTCTCTCTACCTGCCTCTCTGCCTACTTGTGATCTCTGTCTGTCAAATAAATAAATAAAATCTTTAAAAAAAAAAGAAAAAGAAAAAATGTGGAGCAACTGAATCTCACCAACATTGCTGGTAGAAGTGTAAAATGTCACAAGCACTTTAGAAAGCTTTTTGGCACTTTCCAGTAAAGTAAAGCACAAAGCCTATGCTAAGACCCACGCCAGGTCTTAGGCGCTGCCTAAGCAAGTTCATTCCTGAGTATTTACTCAAGACAAATGAAAACATATCTCCACAAAAAGACATACATAAATAATATTCACAGAAGCTGTACTGTAACAGCTAAAACTAGAAACAATGCAATGTCCATCGACAAACTGTGACATATTCATATTATGGAAAACGACACAGTAGTAAAACAGTATGAGCTACTATTCCATGCAACAAGTGAAGTCTTCTAGTGAAGACTAGAAGAAACCAGACACATCCAATTCCTTTAAGAAATATAAGGTAGTGCCTGGGAAGGGTTAAGATGGAGTCCCCCGGTGTGCCAGAAATGTTCTATATCTTGTTCTATACCTTCTATACCTATACCAGAAATGTTCTATACCTTCTGGTAGTTACACAGATGTATGCATATATAAAAATTCATCAAGCTATATACTTAAGATGTAGGCACCTTATTATTTAAATCATATCTCAATTTTAGAATTTAAATACTCTGCACATAATAAAGCCAAGAGCAATAACTAAACTTAATGTTTTCAGAACTATTCCTTCAAGTCTGTTTTTTTTTTTTTAAGATTTATTTGTTTATTTATTTGACAGACAGAGATCACAAGTAGGCAGAGAGGCAGGTGGGGGGGGGGGAGTAGGCTCCCCGCTGAGCAGAGAGCTGAATCCCAGGACTCTGGGATCATGACTTGAGCTGAAGGCAGAGGCTTTAACCCTTTAAGCAACCCAGGTGCCCTGCTTCACGTCTGGTTTTAATCAAAAAACAAAACAAAAAAAAAAAAAAAAAAAAAACTCTCTAGCAAGATACAATAAAAACTGAAATATAAGAGTACACATGGTAGGTATCTGACCTAACTTTTATGTTACTAAAAAGTCAGCCCAGAACTTTTAATCTAAATGTGTCATGCTTTTAACATATCAAAAATCTTAAAAAAAAATTGGAAAGGAAGAAAGAAAATTAATTTCCTGAAAATGCAAGACATGTGAACACTAGATTAGATTTTTTTCACTATAGTTCCAATGCTTAGGCTTTATGTCTCATTATCAAAAAGCAAATAACCAAAAAAGGAATGACAAAAACAAAATATTACTTCTTGCTTTTATGACAATATTAATATGTTCTCTGTGGCAAATCAATTATCCACATGCATAAAATGCAGAAAGTGGAATTACCTGTAAAGACTTTTCTTTCAGTTCAGGTTTCTAGGATTCTGACATTCAAATAATCAAAAACTCTGATTAGCTCCTCAAATGCCTTCCAAAATATAAGCTGAATCTTTGGTCTGGCATTCAAAGTTCCACATTAACACTAGGCTCATACTTATCTTTCCAATCTTTTTTCACATTGGCTCTATATAGAAACCTATGTGCCTTCCTTAGTTCTTTAGATTTCCTACATACAAAATATCCATCTCCCAAAGTTCTGTATTAGCCTATTAAGATCTCTGTTATCTCTGAATCCACTCATATATTTATTAAGGATCTTTTCCATATAAAGTACAAAGCTGGATAATGGTTGAGGACCAAGAAACAAGACATGGTTCCACCTATAAAGTGGGAATGTAAAGAGCTACACTTATTAAATATTCATTAGGATCAAGTAATTAGCAAAGAAGCCAATTTATACTGTAGTAAAACAAAATAAAATTTTTTTAAGTATTAGACCCAAATGAAATCCTCCCTCCTTCACTCTTCCCTATTGTACTCCCAAGTAGTTCTCTCTAACTGCTCTGAATCACTATAACATTGTTTCATATCAATCATCTATAATACCATTTTTATGTTTATCCAATACATAAGAAACTTGAAAAGACTTTAAGGCCAAAACGATTATAATAAAAAGTAAGAATTAAAAGAGATTGCACCTCATTGGAAATTTCCGTGGAGAATATCAGAGAAAGCTAGCCAAGACTTAGATTTCTTAGGTTTCAATTAACTGAATTAATTCTTTTACAAATTTTACAGACGAATATTACATAAGGAAAAAAAATTACTTGACTAATTTTCCTTCATAAAGTTTCCCTCACTACTCCTGTATTAACCCAAAAGTCCATAAATAAGCTTTGGGACTTTCGCTATCACATATTTACACAAAAATCAAAGCTCAATTAACCATGTGCCTAAATACACTCAACCATCCACATCCACCAAAAAGCATTTATGAACAGAAGTATCTGTCTTGTAGCTGACATAATCTGAGCTATGATAACTGTGATGTTATAAAGATTAATATCCATATTTCAGATTTAACCTACCCAAAAGCTGTTTATATTCTGTCATATACAGTTATATTCTAGGAGCATATTCAATGGCATAACTGACTCATGTAGGCAACATAATCTAGTATGAATTACCTTGTTATTTGAACATTTTTAAACAATACCATTAAAAAACAACTAGCTCTAAGTTTTTTAAGCAAGCTAAATGCAAATTTTAAATACTTAATTTTGAAAACTTAAAATCACTATCTTATGTGAGATAATTCAAAATCTACCTCATCAACTCTGATTTGAATAAATATAAACTGTACCTGGTTACTGCCATGGCCAAAAGGAGTACCAGATAAATTAGTGGTTACACTGTGCAAAATAATTTCACCACTGAGAGATCCAGAAGCAATGTAGCAATCATTCCAATTATATGTGACACAAGTTACTTCATCTTTATGATCCTGAAAGAAAGTAAGTACACTGCCACATAACCTCGCACTGCACATTTTCATGTTTTTTACATTTTTTGTAAATATTATGTATTTGTAAATTTAATATCTACTTTAACATCTTCCCCAAATAACCTAAAAAAAATTACTCAAATGAGTAGGAAACTATCTGATCAACACCAAGTCTTCTCAGGGAACAGAGATTTAGTTTTCATAACTGTAATAATGAGCAGGCACTTTGAAACAAAAGACAAAAGGGAAAGGTAATTTTCTAGACCGCGTTATGTCTACCTTCCACTGACAAGTAACATTTATTCCAAGTTGACTATTATGAGAATCCCTGGCCTTGAGAGAATCACGGTTCAGTGAAAAGACAGGACATTTAAATTAACCTGAAAATGGTGGAAGGAATGCTAGATGAGTAGTAGAGGCAAAGTGTCTTAGGAAAGAGAAAGAGGCATGACTATGACCTGAAATGACAGAAGCAGCTGTGGGGAAGACATAAAACTCTAGTTCGACAGTAAAGAAAAAATAAATGATAAGCAGGGGAGGGGGAAAGAAACCAGACACACGAAATGGAAGAGAGCAAAAACAAAAGCTCCCAAGCCAGAATAAGCAAGGCATAGCTGAGACACAACAGCAGTTGTTTTCATTTGCTGGGAACATTATGAATTCTTATTCAACCTTAGAAGAATCCTGGGAGGCAAGCTCACTTTTCTCATTTCATGGACAAGTTCACTACATGAGGCACAGAAAGGTTAAGGAATCTGTGCAAGCTCACATAACTACTAAGTGGCAGATCCAAGATTCAATTCCAGGTCAAAGCCCAAAGCCTATTTTCCTCTCTATACAAGGCTGTCTCCCAATCCAAAGGGGAATCCACTTTGAGGAAACAAAACTGGTTTTAAACTAATGGGGTTCACAAGCACTGTATTTTCCAACATCAAATTAGAGATATCTAGCAGGAGCATAGAAAAGTGATCAGGGTTAGATGTATAGTTTTTAACAGTTTGCTGTTGTATCTTAATAATATAAACAAACTAACTTTTGTATCTAATAATTAGATTAATATCAAGAAAAGTAGCTATAATATTCTACTTATAATCCAATGTTTTCAAGTGGTCCTTTGAGCATGTCTACAGGCATCTTTACATGTTATTATACTCTCTTAAATAAAAAAAACAATTGCTATCCTGAGGAAAAAATGTCTGATGAGAAGAAAAAAAGCAGATATTTAGTGCATTGGTCCCATTTGGAAAATTATGAACATGAGTTCCAATACAATTTCTGTGACTTTATAATGAAGCAGGGATCTTCCTTATTTTAACGTGGAAAACAAGTCATTCAGTAAATATTCAGTAAGCACCTACCAAGTGCCAGAAATTGTGTGTCCAGGGAGAGCACCACAGAGAAGAGACCCAAAGGTGAAAGATTAGATTTCCCACTATCGCAATTACTCAGCCAAATACTTGGTAACTGAATGAATAAAGAAATGAAGTACTCTAAGAGTTGCAAACAATGAGAAGATACAAAACTATCTGGAGTAACTGGGAAAACTGAGGATAGAAAAATAAGTGGGATTATGCCACGCCATAGAGGTAGGGTAAGTGATGCTCCTAAAATAAATGAGAATATGTGACAGAAGTGGCCACAGCCTTCAAATCTCTTCTCAATTCTGTAAAATAATCTCTTTCATAGTAGGTATATCCCTCTGAATAGCTTTAATTCAATTTCACAATTTAAAAAATTAAACAATGGATAATATCTGAGTTTGTAACTCATCTTTGTCATTACTAGCTGTTTGATACTGAACAAGTTCTTTAATATTTTTGAGCCAGAGTTTTCCATGGGTTCACAGAAATAGTACTACCTGCTCTGCAGAATTCTTGTGACACAAAGAATAAATGTACGTTAAGCACAGTGGCTGACATATCAAACAACTCAATAAAAGTTAACTATTCTTATTACTGGCAACTCTTCAATTTTCCATAAGGCTTTCCAAAGTTTAGCTAATATCTAAAATAATGAACTTCCAAAGGTAATATTTTATGCAACAATTACAGGATTATATTTGTTTAAAACAAAATCATTCTTCTACATATAATTTCCTCAGTAAGAATTAACCCAATGACATCTGACATTAACAAAATGATAATGTGTCTAGCATTTGCTTCAAAATAATCTGAGGGTGAGATTATATAGTAATCTTATTATAGAGTAGATAAGGGCACATATAAAATAATATTGGCCATGAGTTGATCATCAATGTCAGATGAATGTGTGTACTCCTATGGCTAGAATTTTTCATATTAAAAGTTTTTTAAAGACATATGAAAATGAAAAATAAGTTTAAAGGTGAATTTCCAAATATTTGAAGTACATTATAGTGAAAAGGAGAATTCCCAAAAAATCATCATAACCCAGAAGCTTTCATGGGATGAATATTTTTATTTTCTAAAACTACAGAGAGCTAATTATTTAAAGAAACACTAATTGTAAATAATAATTTTATAAAATAGTTCATTACCGAGATGAAAACACACACAAAATAACACAAATAGCCACAACCATATCCATTAGAGAACTAAGAAGTCAAATCCCCAACTTTGATTAGTAGGTTGATTACAGCCATCCCAGAACCACCCTCATTTTTTCAAAGAGACTTAAAAAAAGATTTCTGATGACAACTCATACTTTAGAAAAAATTAAGGAAGTGGTTCACTGAAAAAAGAGTGGAACTAAGTGAAAAGAATAAAGGAAAAGTTTTAAACACCAACAATATGCATTAGTGACATACATGGAGGTAAAAATATACCAAAAAAAAAAATTCTGACTTAAATATCATCTTTATTTTCCCCTAACAAATCTCACTTCAATTCTGAAGCATCTTATTTTATCATAAAAGCTCAAAATTAAAAGTTTGGCAAATACTCTAAACATCATAAGATACTCATTACTGCAAGGATTTTTTTTTTTTTTAAAAAAAACAGTAAGTTGCTTACCTTAAGAGATCGATGAACTCTTTTTGATTTTAAATCCCAAATGTTAACAGTGTGATTTAGGCCTCCACTTACCAAATACATAGATGTGGAATTTAAACTGACACATGTTTGCTTTTGCTATTAAAGAAAGAAAAAAAGTTACCTTAATTTAACAGAGCCCAGAGCTGACTTTCAAATCCCATCCAACACTTAGTGAGCACTCTGTAAACATTTGTTGAATTAAATGCTATAAACACGCTAAGACTCAGATTCACCTCTCATCATCTTCCACATGCATCCAACAGCTTGAAAGGAGTTCAAAAAGGCTTCAAAAGGCACTCAACGAGAGCAGTGTTCTCCTCCATAGAACAGAGCTGACAGAGGAAGCTTAGGGAACACCAGCAAGTCTTGGCCTCCCATCATTGCTTACTTGCTCTTATACTGCCCCTCAGTAAAACCTACTCTTGCACTTTCAGAGTATCTTGATTCTTGAATCTAGAATCAGCCCACAGCTCAGGAAACACTAAACATAAAAGAGACTTTATTTATTTATTTATTTATTTATTTATTTATTTATTTATTTATTTTTAAGATTTTATTTATTTGACAGAGGCAGAGATCACAAGTAGGGAGGGAGAGGGAAGCAGGCTCCCTGAGAAGCAGAGAGCCCAATATGGGGCTCGATCCCAGGACCCTGAGACCATGACCTGAGCTGAAGGAAAAGGCTTGGGAAAGTTTGTAAAGAGGACAAGATACTTGCCCAAAAATCTCACAACAGAGTCTCCCCCAAAGGAGCCCAAGACTCAAACATGAGATCATCTGAACCTACCTCTACACTCTTCCTCACGTCTGAAAAGGGACCATCCACTCAGTTTCTCAAGATAACAGTCCAGAATTACCCTTGATTCCACTTCTCCTTACCTGCCATCTACTGTAAGTTCTTTAAACTCCCACACTAACATAACATGCTGCTGCTACCAACACACTAATCTGAACCCCACAGAACCACAAGAATAGCAGCCTCCTAACTGGTTGTCCCACTTCTGACCTGACTCCCCTACATTCTAGGTTTCATAAGCAGGATGACCTTTAAAAAATGCAAATCAGATCATGACTCTCCCATTTAAAAAATGCCTATCAGCCCTAGAATAAATTCCAAACTCATTAACCTGGCTTTCAACCCTACTTCATCTCTCACCATTCTCCTCCTCACCCACTAATTCTCCAGCCACTCTGGCCTTCTTCCATTCCTTAAACATTATCAGCCCTGTATTTGCCCCAATGCTTCTATACCTCCCTGGAAACCTAAATTCCCTGAACCCTGGCTAAATGGTTTCTGGTCGACAAGACAGCAACTTCAAAGCCACTCTTTCTGGGGCCCTCCCTTGGCCACCTAATGTAACTTGCTAACTTTCTATCTTATTTTAGTTCTCTATGTAGCAACTTAATCACTATCTGGGTATTCTGTTTAGTAGTTCACTGTCTGTCTTCCACCAGAACGTCAGTTTCATTAGTGCAAAGGCCATATCCATGCTCGATAAATATTAATGGAATAAAAGGCTAAAAATACAGAGGTTTTCAAGTTTTTCTCACAATGAGTATCTGTGAGCATCTCTATCTGGAGGCATCATGAGTAACTATACCACATAGTAAAACACAATGTTCCATGTTTTTTTTCCTATTTAACCCTCAGATACACTCTGTAGTTACATAAATTGTTCTCACCTCTAGTTGAATAGAACGGGGGCGGGGGGAGGTAGTGAATGCCAAAGGGTACCTTTTATGACTTAGCTAAAAGTAAAAATGTAAGCTACATAGGTTTGGGCAAGTCATCTCATCTACATTTCTTCATCTGAGAAGTGAAAAATCAGGAATAGATCTATTGTTCTTACCTTGAGAGTCCATACATCTGAAAAACACCCTGTGCTCAAAAGGGCGCTATTTTTGAAAAAACTTAATTCCAGTATAATTAACATACAGTGCTATATTAGTTCCAGATGTACAGTATAGTGACCATTTCATGCTCATCACGATTACGTGTACTTTCAATGCCCTAGGAGAACACTAGATTCTTATAAGAAACCTTTCCCTACCCCAAGGTTTCTTCCAGGTCTGAAATTTTGACCAGGAGTCAAAATTACTAACATATAAAAATATCAGGAACACATTACATCAATGTTTCAATATAGTTGCTACAATTCCCTTATAGACACCATTCTAGGAACTGAGTTTGGTCTACACAGACTAGTATGATTTAGAATCTGGGGGCACCTGGGTGGCTCAGTTGGTTGAGCATCTGCCTTTGGCTCAGGTCATGATCTCAGGGTCCTGGGACTGAGCCCCACATCAGGCTCCCTGCTCAGTAGGGTCTGGTTCTCCCTGTGCCCCTCCAACTCCACCCATTCCCCCCCCCCCGCCTCCTCCTTTCTCTCTTACCCGTGCTCTCTCTCTCAAATAAATAAAAATATTTAAAAAAAAAAAAAAAGAATCTAGTTATCACCACAAATCAGGAGTTTGCTAAGAGCTATCAAAATAACCTTTAAGGAAAGTAAGAATGGTGTCCATCAAAGATCAATATATTAGTACCCCAATTATCAAAAAAAAATCCTCAAATTATTAAGGACTCAAAACAAAACCTATATTTTCAACTGGCCTACCCTGATGTTAGAAGATTTTTTTTTATGTTGATGTATTATTAATGTAACTAATGAACTTAAATAATTAATGAAAATTGTGTGATTATAGGAATCCCATACCCTAAAACACAAGCAATGGGTCAAGTTTTTAAAATCTAAAAATAAAAGCTGGCCAACCATCTAGGTTATAGAGTAGCCTAAGATATTCATTATTTTACTGTTAATATCAACTTACCTACTCTAAAGAGCTAAAATGCAAAATCAAAGAAAAAATATAAAATTAAAGTTCTACTCTAAAAACGGTGTTAAAGTTAGATAGAATCTCACCTGCCCAAACAGTAATGGTATCATATATCAAATGGCACATGAATAATAGGACTTGGATCCTATATAGCAAAAGTGATCAACAAACTAATATGTTACAAGAAATTACTAACAACGGCTAAAGAACCAATGTTTGCAAAATATTCCTTTAAGCAAATTAAATTAAAGCAGATTCAAATTATAAGTAATGACCTTACTTTCATCTACCTGTATACTTCCTTTTAATTAAACATTTTATTTATTTGGGAGAGAGTACAAGTGAGGGGAGGGACAGAAAGAGAGGGAGCAGACACTCTGCTGGGCCTGGGGCTCAACAAGGTGCTGCATCCCAGGACCCTGAGATCATGACCTGAGCTGAGGGCAGACACTTAATCAACTGAACCACCTAGTCACCCCGCAACCACCTGTATTCTGATGTGATTTCTTAACTGTAGGAAAGAGAACTAGCTACAGCAATTGATGTGGAATATTCACAAAATCCTTAGAATTGTGTCACATTTTTAAATATTGTCTACTATTTTCATAATTCAACAATAACAATAACAAAGTTCCCAAACTGTTCTAAGGCACAATGTATAGAAGGAGCACAATATATATTGTAGTAGAAGTAGAAATCGAGATTGTTTTGATATTGATATTCAATTCAACAAATGTTTGTTGACACCTTTGATAGTACCTCAAGATCCAAAAATGACTAAGATGTTCTGCCTGTTCTTGAAGAGCACAGTTTACCTCTTACCAAACAGGGATGCTCTCTGCCTCAATTTCACTTAACTGAGTTTGAACAGGCAATGTGTCTCAAATGCCATATCTGCCCTCAGCAGACATTCTTTGCCCCAGACTCTAGCATTTGTGGGCTGGATGTGATGCTTGTGTCAATCCCACCTACCTTTAGGAAAGGATGGATAGAAATCATAAGTCCTTTTTTAAAGTAGATGAGCTCATACTCCATTGCCCTTCTGTGTTCTTTCTAATTGAGCTATCTTACCCATTCCAGTGTGTAAAATTATGACAATTCACAATGGTTGTGAAATTGTGCTATGAAAACTTTGAACCTTAAATTAAGAACAAGCTATCAACTACTTGTACCTTTTTAGTTAAACCTTACTTTAAGAAAAAAAGCTTTCAAGGAGTGTGACTAAAAATGAGGACACAATCATTATCCTGAATCAAAGGGATTAACATATAAAACAAAAAGATGAGAAAAAAACATGCAGTGAGAACTTCACTTAAATGCTCAGGGACCAAGGCTCAGGTTGACAAAGCCACCCTGTTCCAGGAGAGCTTGGGGAGACTCAGGGCCCTCAGTAACCGGAAGGACAGAAGCTAAAGCAGAAGCTACCATCACACAGGGGTCCTTAGTTGATGGTCCTAAGCTCAACATCAGTAAGGACAGGACTACATCATTAGGACCCTAATGGTCAAATCAAGCTGGTGACCGAGGTCAGGACTTGGGTTTTAAAAAGGCAGCAACACCAGGAAATCTTCCAGAGGAGATGGAGAAAGCAAGTGACCAGCTGACAGAATCTAAGTCCTTGAGTGCTCCCCTAGGATCAGCTATTATTTTACCTGAAGATGTTTCAGTGCCTATCTCCTCTTGAAGTGTACCGTATTATTTTGAATTTCGGTTAAGACTAATACTTTCAAACACCTTTATATATTTAGTTGCACACACCACTAGAAGCAGTTACCACCCAAGTAGAACTAAGAGTTTTTAAAGTTGTTGGTTTTTTTTTTTATCACTTACCCCTTCACCAAGCTCGAAAAGTAAAAAAGGTTTATTTTTGTAATGTGAAACAACAATTTTGTCGCCACTGGAAGACGCTGTCACGAGAAAGTTATCTAAATGAAGAGTTATGGAGCATCAAACAATTCATGAGCATCTCTAGCACTACACTATTATTGCAAGAATTGTGACGATAAAAGCAAGTGCACTAACCTAAAAAGACAAGCAAATGAATATAGCTTATACATCAGCTTTCAAAAATGGCTCAGGTTACTAATTAACTAAGACTAATTCTCTCGACTACTACCGCAGGGAAGAACTATCCTCTCTGGCTCTATTACTTGAAAGCTATTTTACCCAAGTGAAATACTACTCCATTTTCAAAGAATAGGCCAGAAGGTCTAATTTTATCCTTCAAGAATGAGATCATGATAAAAGTAACATCTGCAAATATCAATCAGCCTTTTCATCTATGAACACTGCTCAAGATAGTTATTTATTAACACAGTGCTTGGTACCAATTTAAGCTAGGAAGCAAATATTCATTATTAGTCTCCTGTTCATCCATTAAAAATATAAAGCCTGATATATTCTTAGAACTAGAATTTTTACATTAGAATCTTTTAATCTTAAATTAAGAATAAATATTATAGTAAATAGAGCAAATATAAATAAATGTGGTTAAATAGCAACTATGTATGCTATGGAAAAGTTTTATTTTAAATTAAGCTAAATTTATTAAAAACTTAATTTAAAATTACTTATTTTAAAATTTAACTTAATTTAAAATTACAGTACCTTGTTTTACAGAACTTATAAGCAGAACAATCAGTAAACACAAAGCACTGTAAATTATTTTTAAATTAAAAAGATTAAATACAATATAATCAAGAATAATAGCCTAATTTTGAGAGTCACAATGAATTAAAATATCAGAAGTTTAAATCTTTGCTTTTTAACAAGTGAAATCTTAACTAGCTTGCTTTGGGCGGTTTCTATAATATTCGTATATTTCATGAATAGACCATTGATTGTGATTTTATTATAATGCATGATTCAAACAAAATCATTCCCACCTAGATATTATACCATGGAGAAGAACAAATCATTTCCCTTTCCTTGGCTTCATCCTATGTTTTCTACTACTTTTTCTCCTTAGAATACAGAAAAGGACAACAAAGATAGTATGAGAGGGTAATCTAGTTACTCCTTTTTTTTCTCTTGTAGTTTTAGGAATTGTGAGAAAGTGAGGAACATTACCTAACATGGCCAAAAATTCATTTCTTGGTACCTCACTCTTAATCCCGTTCTTGGAATCCATGCTAAGTGGACTCCAAGTAGCTCAATCTGGGAAGTCCTTGTTCTTTGGTAACTAATGTCTATGGAAGAGAGCAAAGCCTCATTTGAAGACTATCTGCAAAAGTTTCCACTGTGTATTTACTTGTACAATAAAACTCTACAGAAGACCAGTTTCCAAAAGTCATCCCACACAACCTCATGGTCACATCAGTTTGTCAACAGACCATTAAGTGGTTTATCAGCAAATGCCAACTCCCAATAAAACTTCTTGGAATAAAAATAAACCCAAACTAATAAATCCCACCCAGAATTGCTACTTTTCTCTTATATAGTAAGTAATAGGGAAATTAACCTTTACACATAATAAAAAGCTAACAATAAAAAGAAGCAACCTTGCATATTTGTCACTTTCTTTAAAACATTTTTCCCCCACTACCCATCTGGAGAGTCCTTCAAAAATATACTCCCTTCACCAGGTTTGATTAATAGAGCACCAAAGTAATTTATTTTGCTGCTTTAACACAAAACCAAGGAATGATAAAGAGGTAAATTTAATTCAGCAAGAAAATTCATCATTTCTGTTACATATTTGCAAGAATAATTCAGTTGGGCATGAAAACTTCTGTTTTTGTTCATAAATCAGTCATATTTTAAAGCTTTGGTATTTTTACTTTCATCAGGAAACAGAATATTTCATGATTTGATATTGATAAGATCAGACATGTGTTAAAACTTAATTTGTTTTTTAAGTAATAGCCTATATGTGTAAGTTATACAAAAGAATGGTAATTTCTAGCATAACAAGTTTATAGAACATTTCCAGAGTATTTTGTTTACAGCAGTGGCTCTACTGAGAGCTACTGGTTTCTGGTGGGTAAAGGCCAAGAACATTTCCAAACATCCTATAGTGTACACAAGAGCCCCCATAACAAAAAATTATCTAGTCCAAAATGTCAATAGTGCAAGGTTGAGAAATTGTGATTTCTAAGATTTATCCCCTCACTTATTTTATCCACACTTAGGAACTTACTAAGACAGGCAGTGTGTAAATCAGAAATACAAAAAGCTTGGAAAATTCAATCTAAACAATTTCTCTGAGAGATCAGGCTATTTTCATCATAGAAAGAGAAATACAGAGAGTACATCAGTAAGATAAGGATGTTGGACAATTTTAATTTTTATCTCCTCCTCAACTTTGCTTTCTGTCTTTGAGTTCTGTCTTTAATTTGCAGACAAGATCCATAAATAGCCAAATGTTGATGCAAAAACTCATTCCAAAACCATCCAGAAGTTTTCCCACCATTACCTACCTTATTCCATTTGGGTTCAACAACAAAGTATTGATAACAAAACTAATTCTATGGTCTGGATCTAGCAGTTTCTATATATATATATGCATATATATACACATGTGTGTGTATACCTATATACATATATATGTATGCATTCCTATGATGTATTTATTAAATCCCTATTTTACTTTATCTATCTAGCTTTCACAGCTATGCAAAATATATTTCTTATTATTAGTCACATGCAAAAGTTTCATTGATACTGTTATTTTACCTAACAAAAAATGGTTATTTTTAAAAAAAGGATACTATTAGTGCTCCAACACATTGAGCTGATTCCATGTGGTGATGTGTGTGGGCTGAATTTATCCACCAATGTCATAGAAGCAGCATCCCATATTTTAATATCATCTCCAGATGAAGCAAATCTGAGGTTTTCCTGCATGACTGCACCTACAAATAGTTCAAAACAATATATTTAAAAAACACTTAAGGATAGGACAAAAATGAAGGATCTAATCTAAATCAAGAGGCTCTACCTGTCCACTTTTGTTCCAGAAGGTGTGTTCACCACAAAGTAGCTGGAGCGATCCTTCTAAAATCACATTCTCTCAGCTGACCCTTCCAACAGCTCTCCACAGCAATTATAATGAAATCCAACCTCCTTGGCATGCCTTACATGATCTGGCCCCATTGTAACTGTCCTACCTCTCTTCACCATGGCCGCCAGACTCACAGGCCTTCTTTCTTGCCTCGATCTTTCCACTTGCCACCCGCTCTGCCGGGAATGCTCTTTCCCCAGATTTCCCAAGGTCATCTCCTTCACCTCACTCTAGTTTCAGCTAGTCTCCTCAGAAAAGCTTTCCCTGACCACCATGGCTAAAGCAGCCCCATACCAGTTGCCTATTACGCAGTTTCACTCCACCTCCTAATAGCACTTTCTGCTATTTGGAACTCTTACTTCTTCTCATAATAATGTCTGCCTCTCCTGACTAAAACAAAACAAAGATCCTGAAAATGGGTTTTGACTTGTTTACTATCAGTCTTGATATGTTCCTGGCACACAGTAGGTGCTCAACAAATAACTTTTAGCTAGAAAACTTCCTAAACCTCTTAAAAATGTACAAAAAACTGTAGCATCCCTGAGGGTTAGAATCCAGTGACTCCAGTTTTTTCCTAATAACTCCAAAATTAGCAAATACAGCCAAGGGAGATGTCACTAAGTCCCTATACCAACACTTGCTCTACAACACCTCGCTGGTACTGTTTATTCACAGTATATAATTCAAATACATAATTCTGACAAGTGATTTAACAAACCAAGGCAGTCTACAAAACAGAAGGTAAGGGAGCTGCTTTAGGCAGATACTCTAAGAGCATCAAGTACTAATGGCATGACCAGTCAGAAAAAAATGCTCAAAAATACATGGAAGAAAGGAAGGGAAAGGAGCCTAGAAATATACCCTCCATACCTTCCTGATGTGTTCAGTGTTGAGGACAGCACAGTACTAGTGATGTCACAGAGTCCCAAGTCACCAACAAAGCATCACATGTATGTCCAGTGTATCTTATTTCAGAGGTCAAGTTAAGGGTATAATAAATTACAAGGCCCTTTGATTCTCAAGAGACAAAAAACAAAACAAACAAACAAAAAAAAACATTTTTAACATGCTTATAAAAAGATTAAAACTTTTGTTAACTAGAAAAGTCATTTATGTGGTTCATTATGCTTCATTCTTTGGATACAGTATTACCAAAAGCCGTTAGTCATCTGTTGAAATGTGGACATGCAGTGTTTGGATTTGGTGCCTCGACATGCTGTAACATGTGCTGGTTCCCTACTCAGGGTACAATTAAGTGCTGGAAAGGGGGAATCTCTTAAAACCAGTAAACAACTAAAAAATGCCTTTACTATAATCTCACACCATTCCTGTTGAGCTGTGTGGGGCAGTGTGGAAAGATCACTTAAGTCGGGGCTCAGAAAACAGGAGTTCAAAGGATCTGCCCCACAGTTAGGTGGCAGTGACTTTGGCAATCACTTAATGTCGGTTTCCTTCTTTTCAAGTGGAGCGGGAAAGGGGACCATCTGCCCACCTACCTCACTCTTCTGAGAACTGAGCACCTTTAAGGGAGAGGCATTACTCAGTCTCTCAAAGAAGGTCCCATCAAAGTGAGTTGTCAGGACACAAGGCGGCAAAACACAGCCAACCCCGAATTTAGGGACAGCGTCTACAGGGGGAAAAAAAAATCACTACAATACTTAGTTTCAACCTAAGTTCTTCAACTTTACTTGCAGGAGCACCGCTCAACTGGGTTACCTTATAAAATGCATCCGAGCCGTAGGGGAGGGGTTTACAAAAGGGGAGGCGGCCGGTGGAGAAGCGGCAAACTTTCCGGGGGACAGCACACCCCCCGCAGAGCCGCCACCAACCCACCCACCCCAGCTGCCCGGGCCACTCTCAGGCTGAGCAGGTGACTGTCGCAGACGGAGGTGCGCGACCCCGGCCCGCGGCTCCCGGGCACTTCCGCGCCAAACCCGCTGCCGCGCCCCTGCTCGACAACTGTCCGGAGCACCGGACCGGCCACGGCGCGGGGCTCGGGGACCACCGACGCGCCCCGGGGGTGGCCGGAAAGAGGGCAGGGTTCGGGAGTGTGCAAAGACGCGGCGAGCGGCGGCCAGCTAACCCCCCCGCCCTCCGGAACCTCACCTCTCAGCCGCGGTACACCGGGGGCCACCGCGCGGCCCGCTCCGGCGCTGGGCTTCCGGCTCCCGCCCGGACTGTTAAACTTCGGCGGCCGGAAGTCCCGCCCACAAGTAGCGTCACGGGGAGAGGCGTTGCACGGAGGGGGGGTCGGGTTGGCTGGGCAGGGGCGGGGCAGGGCCTCCGCGGCGGTCGCGATCCCACCGCCAGGGCGGGAACTGGAGGGCTGGGAGGCTCGCTCCTTCCAGGTCCCAGCGACGGTCTCGCTGTGCCTTTGTTGTTCATTTGTTCGCTGACTGCCCGGATTGTGCCTGGTTCTAGGCTAGACTCGGTGCGCCGTGATGGGCTTAGCCTGGGAGTGCAGGGATACGGTGAACGTTGTCGTCCCTGGCCTCGTGGAGCTTACAGTTCAGTATAGGAGGCAGACGTTAATAAATAATTACGTATTTAAAAGTGAAGCTGACATTGGTTCAAAGAAAAGCTAACAGTTGAATGAAAAATATATGAAAGGGAAATGAACATGGGTATGGGTTTAGGAAAGGCTTCCTTGAAGAGGAAACCATGGAGAGCAGATAAAACCCCATGCAATTTACAAACCAGAAGGTATGCTCAGAAAAGCCAAGAAATAACCAAAAGTGTAAGTGTCTGAGATATATGACTTCAAAACCCAGGATCTTTCTTCCTAATCATTGATCTTTCTTCTTAATCATGCTACAGGGTCAGGAACATCAAACACCATCTGGTTGAGAATTCGGAAAGCGAAGTTTCTCAGAGTGGAAAAAAGAGCTGCCAAACTGAGTTTTCAATACCAAGTCCTTTTTTTTTTTTTTTTTTAAGCTCTAATGACAATTTTTGCTGAGAATACTTATAATAAATATGGGGCATTTTTTCTGCAAACAGTATTATTATTCTTTCATCACAAATGTGTCAAAGAACTAGGAGTGGGTTCCTGAACTGGGTACATAAGCCCCAATTACTTGTACCCATGTCGCAAGTAAACTTGAAAACTCTGAATGCAATTTTTTCTGAGCAGAAACTGAAATCCTAACCAAGTTGTAAAGATTGATAGGAAGCCTCAAAAGGAGAAAGATAGCAAGCAGCAACTGCCTTGTATAGTTTACAGTTCTTGAGTTTATTAAATCCAATTTTGGCAGGGATGGGGGCCAAAAGGTTGGAAAATGATAAGATAGACTACAGGAATAGGGGCAGGGAGAATTGGGGCTAATAGGGAAGAAAAGACAACTAAATCTCTGAAAAGTTAAAGCCAGAAAAAAAATTGAGACTAGAATATATGCAACAAAATATAATAATGCATGTCATATAATACATATTATATACTGTATGGTATAACAAGTATATATGACAATACATATTACTTATTGAATGTATGCTTCACTAAACATATATGTATGCATGCATAGACATAATTTGTATATATATACCATATGTATAAGTCATCCTTCCAAAAACATTACATTATTATATGTACCCCGCTTTACATATGAAGAAACAGAGGTTAAGTTAACTTGCCTGAGGTCATACAGTTTAGAAATTGTATGGACAGGAGTTAAACCCAGAACCATAAGTCTACAAAGACTGTGCTATATGGTCAAGAGCTAAAACACAGCATGAAGAGCCAAAAGTTAACCTCCACTGCCCTTCCTTGCTGGTGCCACAGCCTCATCAAAACTTACATGGTCTTGAGACAGTTCTGTCATTCCTGTTCCTACCCTTCTGCCTATGTGCATACTTTCCTCAGATCTATAAAATATAAGCAATAGAAGCCAAATGTTGGAAACCACACTAATATATGAATTATATAAACATATATACCTCTCCAAAAGTAGACATCATTACAAGGAATATTTCTAGAGAAAATGAGGTCAATAAAACCAGAAGCTATATAAATTATACATAGATATGTGAGTACAGAAACAAAAAGTGTATGAAGAATAAATGTCTTACTTAAAGGAAGAAAAAGCATATCCAGAATCATTGTTGGAGACTTTAACAGAATTTTTTCAGTAACTGATAGAATATCCAAATAAGAAAAACAATAAGATGTGGAAGATCTGAACAGTATTAACTATTCTGTATGAAAAAAGAAGAAGGAAGGAATGAAGGAAGGAAGGTAGGAAGGAAGGAAGGAAGGGTTGGTCCCAAAGTCAATAGTCTATGACTCTCTTAAGGAACCTAGAAAAAGAGGAGCAAATTACACAAAGAAAACAATGAAGCTAAAAACAAATGAACAGTAAAAAAATCCGATGAAATCAGATGGTGAATCTTTGTAATGACTAATAAAGTAGATAAACCTCTACCTAGACTTATCAAGAAGAAAGAGAAAACATAAGTTAACAATAGAAGAGGGGAAAGAGAGGCTAATAATACAGAACCAAAAGAAATTTCAAAAAATAGTAAGGGAAAAATATGAACAACGTTATAACAATAAATTTGGTAATTAAATGGACAAATATCTTGGAAGACATAGATATTAAAACTGACACAAGGAGAAATAATATGAGTAGTCCCTATGTATACTACAGAATTTGCTTTCCTAATAAAGGATAGAAAATACCAGGGTCAAATGGCTTCACCATTGAATTCTACCAAACACATAAGAAAGAAATGATACCAGTCCAATACAAACTTCCGCTGAAAAGAGAAGAGGAGGGAGTATCTTCTAAACTTATTTTTTTAAGGATAGTGTTAGTATTAGTCTGATACTAAAACCAAAGACATTACAAGAAATAACTATAGACTCATATCTCTCATACATACAAAAATTATACATGTATGCAAATTAAATATATATGCAAATTAATTCCAATAACACATAAAAAGGATTATACATCATGACCAAGTGGAGTTTATTCCAAAAATAGAAGGTTAGTTTAACCTCCCAAAATTAGTTTATATAATTCACCATATTAACAAGAGAAAGAATACCCATATAATTATGTCAATAGGTAAAGCAAAAGCATTTGAAAAAAAAAACAGTATTCACTCATGATTAATAAGTCTCAGCAAACTAGGGAAAAAAACAGGAAATACCTCACCTGGGTCAAGAACAGACCATACTTCATGGCAAAAACAAAACGAACAAACAAAAAACGAATGCTTTTCTCCTAAGATCAAGAACGAGACAAGGATGCCCAGTCTCACTACTATTCAGATTCTTCTGGAGGCCCTTGCTGGTGCAATAAGAGAAAGAAAAGAAAAAAGAAAAGAAAAGAAAAGAAAAGAAAAGAAAAGAAAAGAAAAGAAAAGAAAAAAAAGAAAAGAGAAAAGAAAAGAAAAGAAAAGAATAGCATAGAGAATGTACAGGAAGAAGCAAAATTCTCTTTATTTGCAGACAATTATGATTTTGTACTGGAAAATCGTAAGAAATACGTTAAAAAGCTCCTAGAACCAATAAGTAAATTTAGCAAGGCCTATGCAAAATCATATAAAAATAGAGTAACATTTCTAAATACTAGCAATAAGCAATTGGAAAATGAAATAAAAATTACAATCCCATTCCAAATAGCACCCAAAAGCATAAATATTTAGTTAATTTAATAAAATACACTCAGTAACAACGCACTGAAAACTACAAAACATTGCTGAGAGAAGCTAAAGACTTAAATAGAGAGCTATATATATCACATTAATGAGATGGAGAATATTGCCAGACTGTCAATTTAAAAAAAAAAAAAAAAGACAAATTCAAAAGAACTATACCTGCTGTCAATGTAGATCTGACACAAATTAGTCCACAGTGACAGAAAGCAATATAGTATTTGTGTGAGCAGTGGGAGGGATGGACTATGGAGAAGTCAAGGAAGCAGTTGGTGGTAATGGAAAGTTCTTTACCTTGGTTTTTGTGTGGTTTGAATACATCTATCAAAGTTCAGGAACTAAGAGCTCCAGATGCTAAGAAATAAAGTGATGTCCTTGACTTATAAGAGAAAAACAAAATTAATTATTTCTTTAAAAAACATACCAAAATACATAACTGTCAAATTTCAGAATATTGGCTTGAAGACATTTTAAACATTCCCCAAATGGGGGGGGGGGGGAAAGTTACTACACAAGGTTCAAGGATTTGAATGGCTTCCATGCCATTCCTATTCTAGCAGGAATACTAGAATTTATAAAACAATGGAACAATCCCTTTATATTTTTGAGCAAAACAAAAAAGAAAGATTATTAAGCAAAAATTATGTAGTCCTATTACTCTTCAGCTGTGAGGGAATAAAACTATTTTCAGTCATGTAACATCTTAACAAATTTACCTCCCATGCACCCTATGAGGAAGATATTTGAGGGGGTGCACCACCAAAACAAAGGAGAAAACCAAGAGAGAGGGAGCGTGGGTACCCACCTTGAGAAAGGTAAAGGGAATCCCCAGGATGTCACTGAAGGAAAATTCCAGGATAACAGCCAGACACTGGGCTTAAAGAACAATCAGTTCAAACAGCAGGTCAAAAGTCTCCAGGAACACTATTGTCAAAAATAAAAATACACAAACACACACATACACATACACATACATGTCTCGCATGCTTAATTGTGTTATGAAGAGATCTGCAGAACTGGGAGAGAGAATGGAAAGGGTTTATTTTGTGATTGAAGACATAAAAAACTGGAAAACCAACCAACCAGCCAAACTATAAGAGAAAACTAACACTAGGGAAACAAAAAGTTGGGCAAGAAAGGAAAAATGGAAATAGCAACCACAATATACCATATAATTCTGTGATGAGTAATATTAGCATAATCATAGAAAATGAACATGGAATTTTAATTTAACCAAAATTATGATAGAGCTATCTTGAATTGATAGACGGGAAGTATGCATTTGCATGTAGTTAGGTTCTGTGAGAACTGATTCCCTGCCTTCTATGGTGGAAAGTTAATAGTAAATCCTAAAATTGAAAAAATCTTATCATGAATAAGCTTATTATTCAGAGAGTTGGAGATGAAATCCAAAAGACTCCACAAAAAAGTTGCTTCAGGGAGAGTCGTAAGTGGGTAATGATGGATAAAGACAAGGGACTCAGAGTGCCTGGGTGACTCAGTGGGTTAAAGCCTCTGCCTTCAGCTTGGGTC